ATTGGAGTAAACCAACATCAAAAGCTTACCGGGATCACGAAGGAGAGGGTCTTCCTGGACCCTGTCTTGGACACGTCGAGGACGTCGCACCCTCATAACGCGTGGGGGCAGGGCGGCGCACTGAATCTTGCTTATTTCCGTGTATGTCTTGGTTATCTACGATGGCGGCAGCTCGCTAAACCGTGTGGACGGGCTACAGCTCTTGCGCTTACCCATGCGTCAGCGGCGGAGGACTCCGAGTGGGGAGGGGACTTGGTTCCGGAAGAGGCTTTCCAGGATCCATCCAGGGAATTGTTTCCTCTTCAATTTGAAAGGAAGCGAAATGTCCTCCGAGGGCGCCAAAGGGATCATAGGGATGAACATTCTCTCTCCAGCATGTTGTCCACTAATGCAACCATGAAGTATGTTAGAAGATAAAGCCGAAATACGCTACAACCAACAACACTTGTAATGAACTGGCCATATGTTATTTTACTAAATCATGTAATTGAAGAAAACAAAATGCTTCAGAACACAAGTTATTAAAAACTAAAAAATTGATTATCGTAAGTTTAGCTGCATGTTCATACATATTTATCAAATCACACTGGTCGACTATGCTGGTTTGTAGATTACATACCAGCTTTTGTTTGGTGGCGACACGAACACTTAACAAGTCTATTTCTGATGTCAATTTCAGTTCCATGCTCTCGACAACATCTTATAGGAAAATCACAACAACTTAAAGCCTAGGTGTATATGCACTACACTGGTAGCGACCAACAAAATTATCAGCTAGAACAACCGAAGATATTTGTAAACACTAAACAACATGAACAGATATCATCCAGAGCAAAAGGAAGAACTGAGAGGGGGTGAGAAGAGGCTCACCACCAAGTTTGGTCACTGGCGGTGCCACCGAGGATAGCGGCAAAAACTTCTCAATGAAGTGTGCTTCTCTTTCACGCACACGAGCTGCAGGCCAGCCTCCACCTCTGAAATTGTTAACAAGAACTTAATTTGTGAAGCGCTTGTCAAGCGCCCCAAGAATCAAAACACTAATATACAAGAAAAAAAAATACTTCAGAGGCAGAATACTCTTAATGATGGCCACAACCATGTATTCATAGGACACTCAGTATTGTGTAAATATCAACAACTTGTGCATGAAACTTAAGAAATGCACCCATGATAATACATAAAACAATATCTTATCTAGAAACAATATTGTAGTTAAAATTGAATGGCAAACAGCAAAAAATATGGTCATGTCAACCAGATCCACACATGGACAATTACCAATGTAGTTAATTATGAGCGAAGAGGAATTTGAGTCACTTTTGCAGCTCGTATTTTGGTATTGTACTCTTGACTCTATAGGTTGTTTGCGCCTGGAATAGTAAGAAGAAAAAGAGATAATTTATCACTTCAGCCACATACAATGGGAGTCTTGAATTTCAGAATTTAACACCGTTATAACATTACGTAGTACGTACAACAGCATTAGCAACAACAACTACAGAAATCAGTACAAAGGTCGTTGGATGTCTTCAGAAAACTTAGAATATAAGTCAGAAGAAAGCAGTCTGACCATATGAGTATTATACAGCTGAATACATTTAACCTGACCATGAGTCCATGAATGATTGGGTGATCATTTTATCCTACAGCTAAGCAAAACCAAAAGAGCGCTCCTGTCCACCATGCCAGCTCTTCTGGAAAAAGATAAGTACTACCAACTTATTTTCTCCTAACATTCATTTGATAATGGAGCTGAATTTGGCCGAAGCAAACAGCCACGCCTTACTTTATTAGTTACAGCTAATGAAAATCATGGTGGTTCAGAAAAATTAGGACCAAGGAATAAAAGGAAAGGAAACACAATGGTCATGGGCGCCTGAGTTTCACTATCGAAAAGGAAACACCATGGGCTAATAAATAGTACTAAAGAGATTTAAAGGGAGAGAGATGACATGGACGCTACTTACGATGGATGGAGCAGAACTTTACCTGGAGATAGGGCAGAGAAGGGTGGAACTGGCAGCAGGAAGGAAAGTGATGGCATGGAGGAGAGCGGTGGGGATCTCGAACCGGCAGGGAACTGGCGGCGGAGGGCTCCGCGCCGCCGCACCGCGGGCTCAGGAGCGACCTCGTACGCCGGCGGTTGGCCTACACGCGTCCACGTCCCTGGCGGCGGCTGCAGCTCCCGCGTGCCTCTCGCCGCCGATGATGAGGGGCGGCGCGTAGAGCTGCCTCGCATCGGGGAGGCGGGGCAGGCGCCGGAGAGACGAGGCGGTGTAGGGTGCGTGCGGGCGGCGTGGTCGGCAGTGAGGCAAGGGGCGTGCAGCGGTTGGGGCGAATAGGTCGTGGGGGCTTCTCTTTTCTCGTAACGATGGTGGGCAGAGGGATTTGCGGGCACTAAACCGTGGTGGCTTAGTGTTAAACACGAAAGGATTAGGAGACATTAGATCTCGTAAATGAATGGGTTAGATTGTTTGGATCTGCCCCTCTCTTCCTTTTATAGTGGTAGTAGATTTGACGCGAGCATGTGAGCCGCTCGTCATCTCTTTCCTTCAGCACAAATCGCGATCCCCATTTTCTTCTCTAACTTATCACTGGTATTCACTGCCATGAGCACTACTGCAAGTGCATGGGCTGTGACAGCTGCTTCCCACCTGTCGACCAACACCGTTGCAACATCTGCAGTCGACGCCGTCTGCTGCGCCGCACCATCCGTGGGCGCTGCCACGCGCTGCATCGCAGCATCCGCGAGCGTCGCCGCGTGCCGTCGCTGCCGTCCAGTGTGTCGCAGCATCCGTCGTTGCCATCAAGAGCTGCATCCTAGCATCCGACATTGCCAAGGTGCCAGTGCTCTGATGAAGCATCGCCAGGTCCGCCGGTCTTGGGATGTTGCATCGTCGGTGCTGCGATGAAGCACTACAATGGAGCATTACTGGTGTTGCGATGAAGCATCCGTCGGACCACCGGAACATCACCGACCCTGGGATGGAGCATCATCAGGTTACCGGGGCATCGTCAGTGCCATGATCGAGCATTCGTCGGACTGTCGAAACATCGACGACACTGTTAGGGAGCATCACCGGTGCTATGATGGAGCATCATTGGGTCGCCGGGACATCGCCGGTGCTGTGATGGAGCATTACCCGAACCACTGGAACTTCATCGACGCTGCGATGGAGCATCATCAGGTCACCTGGGCATCGCTGGTGCCATGATGGGGCATTCGTCGGACCGTCCAAACATCGACGACGCTGCAAGAGAGCATCACCGGTGCTATGATGGAGAGCACCGTCTGGTCGTCGGGACATGCCGGTGCCGTGATGCAGCATTCCTCGGACCACCGAAACATCACCGATGCTGCGATGGAGCATCATCAGGTCAACCGGGCATCGTCGGTGCCATGACGGAGCATTCCTCGGACCATCGGAACATCGACGACACTGCAAGGGAGCATCACCGGTGCTATGATGGAGCATCATCGGGTCGTCGGGGCATCGCCGGAGCCGTGATGGAGCATTCCTCGGACCGTCGGAACATCAACGACGCTACAAGGGAGCATCACCGGTGCTAGGATGGAGCATGTTGGGCCCCCGAAATATCACCGGAGCCGCAACAGAGCATCGTTGAGCCGTCGGAGCATCATTG